AACAAACTGGGGAAATATTTCAACTTCTGAAGATTTTTTTAAAGGAAATTTCTGATTACACGAGGTCAATACCCTCTCAGCAAAAAAAATTCCATCAGACATTAAAGAGTTCCAGATTATTTTCTTCTAAAGATTGCTTCCTTTTCTCAGTCCCTTACTTTCACAGAGCTTAGATTGGATGTCTTTTATGTTTTTAAAGGGTTTGACTATTAAAATTTCAAATTAACAGCAGAACTATGATTATCTATACACTACCAAAATTTCACTGAATTCTCAGTTCTCATGCTTGAGTATAAACTGTTAAACCGTCACATGAATTCCTGTGGAGGTGGAAGTGGGGATGTTAGAGTTATACCTAGTGGTGCTAAGGAACTATTCCTGACCTCTGTTCTTGAGTGACCTCTGGCATTGCTCAGGAGGCTACCATAAGTGATACCAAGGGCTTGAATCAGGCTCAGCTATATACAGGGCAATTGTCTTACCTCCTGCTCTATCTCATTGATCCTTCTCATGGCTTCTGAATGAAATCCTTCAGTGGTTGCTACACATTTCCTCTCTCATCACAATGTTCCTTGATTGATTCTCCCTAAACCAACTCTCTGACTATACTCAGTTCCCCTGTCTCTCTTGATGCCTTGCTGGAAGTCCCTGAGGCCACAGGCCATGGTAGCTTTTTAATTTTCCTTCTCATTTATCTTTTTCTTTATGCCACATAGCTCTATGCATCCATTGCTTATAGGTCTCTTCTATCTATAGTGAACCTGTTGTTCCCACCGAAAAAGGAAGCCTCAGTTTCCCCTTGCCAGCTGCTGTGAGCAGTTCAGCTTTGGGCTGGCCCATCCTACATTTTTTTTTCATTTTACAGTTTTTAATCAAGTTGTATATAACTTTATTTCTGCATCTTCTCAAGTGTTTCTTCCTTATATTTGCCCTTCCTACTTGGCGAGACTTGGCTTTGCGTTCAAGGATCTTTTTGCGATCTTTGTCCAGTTTTAGTCTAGTGATAACCACCTTACTGAGGTGAATGCACCATATGGGCAGTTGTGCCATTTGCCTTCTCCCGCTGGACTCATTCAATGTACATAACATATTTCTTTCTGTAAACCTGGACTATTTTGCCAATTTGCTGACCTTTGTAGTGTCCTCTCACAACCTGAACCTCATCGTCCTTCTGGATGGGCGTGGATCTCACATTGTACTTCTGTCTCAGCTCTTTGGAAAGAGGGGAAGACATAATCTTCCTACGAATGTGGAAAGGTGCATTGAAATGCCTCTTACGGTTCTTGCTCCGGTCAGAAGTCACAAAAGGATTGAACTTCATTTTGGCAGTTACCACTTCAGCGATGGCCGCAGAAGGGAAAAGTCATCCTACATTTTTGACCTTTTGCAAATTCCTGGGCTTTTCTGATAAACAGGGAGTTAACCATTAAAATTCTGCCCCCAGAGCTTTGGCTCACAGGGAGTCTATGGTAATGAACAATACCTGAGGGAGATGGCCAGAAACACTCAAACCAGCCCGACCCCCGGGGCATTCCCTGAATTCTCTGAAATACTTGATAAGAAATGCAAAGGGCCTTTTAAAAGGTCTACACAAAGCTTTTACTTTAAACTTAGTCCTATACTAAGTTCCTCCCCACTTGAGAGTTCCTTTTGTTCTCTCTTCTACTTTCCAATAACTTTTCTACTTTCCAACTGGGCATCTTTTATTACTCCAATATTTTTATTCTTGAAAATATGGAAGAATGTGGGGATCAGGAATGAACAGAGAACCACTGCTGCCACTTCTACATCATCTCCATCACTTATGGTATCCTTATGGTATTGTTTCTTTAGGAACATGCCCCTTCCCTTTGAAGAGAGGCTTTGAAGGACACTACCCTGTCCCATCCCACTTGGAAACAAATATGTGACATGGACCTATCAATCCATTGCATCGCTTTCTTCTAGTAAAAGTGGTAAAAGTTATAGGGGCTTAGTCTAATCCTCAACTGGGCAGGGTTTCTTTCTTAGAACTCATAAGTAGAACCAACTCTCTCCACTATAGTTGTTCACCTCAGAGCATGTGGGTTTGCAACTCCCAACTGGCTTTTTCCCCGGCTTATGCAGGAAACTAAATTAACTGTAAAAATAAACGAAAACTCTGAGTGAGAGTATCAGAGCCAATAAAAAACAAAATGGCGCGGGGGTTAAGTTTTTACAACTTTGAGCCCCCAGAGTCAGTCTTTTTTTTTCTTTTTTTTCTTTTTGGGTCACATCTCACAATGCACAGGGGTTACTCCTGACTTGTGCACTCAGGTGTTACTCCTGGCAGTGCTCAGGGAACCATATGGGATGCTGGAAATCAAACCTGAGTTGGCCTCGTGCAAACACCCTATCCACTGTGCTATTGATCCAGCACCCCTCCAGAGCCAGTCTTGACAAGAGTCCATGCAGGACTTGCTGGATTTCTAATTTCACCACTTTCTAGCTAGGAAAACATGGGCAAATTATTTATCTTCTCTGTGAATCTCTTCCCTTGCCCATAAAATAGGAATTAATATTAATCCCTATTTTATATGAGTTCTTTTCACTCGGAGTTTATGAGTTCTTTTATATGAGTTCTTTTCGTACAGAATTATGAGTGAAAAGAACTCATAATTCTGTAAGATGTTTATTTTAAATGTGTTGTTTAGTTTGGTGATAATTCTGTTCTTCTGTGATAGCACAGCAGGTAGAGCGTTTGCCTTGCACACGGCCAACACGGGTTTGAGTCCTCTGCCCCTCTCGGAGAGCCCGGCAAGCTACCGAGAGTATCTTGCCCGGGCGGCAGAGCTACGCAAGCTCCAGTGGCATATTTGATATGTCAAAAACAGTAACAAGTCTCACAATGGAGACATTACTGGTGCCTGCTCAAGCAAATCGATGAACAGCAGTAAGACAGTGCTACAGTGCTGCTTTATAAGGCCTATGAGGACTGGTAGAGCAAATGTTCAATAAACACTAGCCAGAACTATTACAAGCCAGTCAATTTTATTGTTATTTAATGTAACTTGAATTGGGTTTGTGTTACAAGAGAAAGGATATTTAAATTTCCTTTAAAATGTGCTAGCATGAAGAATAGGGGTGGGGCTCAAACAATGGTGGAAGGAAGCAGACACTGTGATTGAGGGTGGGGTGTGGATGTTGCAATCTTGAAACCCCATCATGAACATTATTGTAAATCACATGCCTCAAATAAAACTGCTAACTAAACTGGGGCTGGAGCACGACCAACCTGGGTTCGATTCCCAGCATCCCATATGGTCCTCTGAGCACCACCAGGGGTGATTCCTGAGTGCAGAGCCGGGTGTGACCCAAAAAGCAAAAAAAAAAAAAAAATCAACTGCTAACTAAACTAAAAAAGAGAGAAAATATAACAAGGAGACCACGCTTTGTTACCAAATAATGATTTTAGCATTTCCTTCCCGACCTGCAAGGTGTGTTTAAATTTCACAAACTTAATTAAAAATTGGTGCATCATTTTATTTTTCCAACCCTCCATGTAGTTTTGTTTTTAAATGCTTTCCCAAATGACCTAGGTATAAGAGTAAGCATCATAATGTCACCTTGTACACAAAGAGTTTTAGAATTTGTTAAATTCATCTTAAATGGAATGCTTAAGACACAGGGGGGTGTTTTTGGGGTCACATCCGGCGATGCACAGGGGTTATTCCTGGCTCATTCACTCAGGAATTACTCCTGACGGTGCTGGAGTCCATATAAGATGCTGAGAATCGAACCTGGGTCAGCTGGGTGCAAGGCAAACGCCCTACCATCTATGCTATTGCTCTAGCCCTGAGATTCTTGATCAATGTTTTAGAGGACACATCTGTGTTGGGGAACAGTTTTTCCCCAATGCACCCAAACATGTTACACACCAGGTCCGGGCAAACACGGGGCAAAGAATGACTGGTGTGCGGAGAAACCATTTCGGGAGACAGCCCATGGCTGCTCACTTTATTGCCAAATACACACATGCTTTATAGAGGGTCTTGGCTTAAGAGGATGGTCCAATCACATAAAGTTTGGCATTACTGACCTACCACTTTTCCAACTCTGCCTTGCCCTGGCCCAATCCCAGTGAGGGCTAGCTGCTACAGTTAGGTGATAACTCTTGGGGATTGGGTGAGACTCAAGGCCAGATACCTGGTGCTTGTAAAACGCACCCAACCACATCTTCCATTCGCTACAATCCATCCTCATCACAAGTGCCAAGAACCTTGGCTAACCATCCCTTCATCAGGCACGGTCCTGCTCCAGCTTCTGAACAAGCTCCTCCCACTGGCTTCCCTAGCCCTGCCTCAGTTCCCCAATCTGAATTACTGTTCTCCCTAATGTCCCAGCACGTGGAGGCACCTGTCCTTTCTGAGGATCAAGCTTTGCTGGCTCTCAGATAATCCAATACAGTGCAAAACCAACCTCTTTTATACATTTTCTAACTGCTGTGGCTTTTCACTAAGACTATCCTTCTGGGTATACCGTATAATTTCCAGTTTTGTACTGCAACTTGCAACATGCTGTCACAGACGATCTTGCATGATATCAGGTGAGTCTAACTAATCTAAGTAGAAAGAAAAGTTTTGAGCCAGAGAGATGATAGCTCAACAGGAAGGCACGTGATTTGTATGAGGGAGGGCCAAAGTCCATCCCCAGCACTGCATGGTTCCCCAGAGAACTGCCAGGAGTGAGCCCTGACCCCACCAGGTGTGGCCTAAAAACTAATAAAATTTAACTAAAATGAAGTAAGGTTTTTGGCTTGTTTCCTCACATAGCACCAAACCCAGTATATAGTCCCAATATGTATTACCATTATCATTTTTGTTAGGTCCAATCATACATAATACTAAATCTTCCTGTTTTAGAAATTCCATATTTTAAACAGAATTTTTATTGAAATGTAAATAACTTGAAGCCTCATTACCTAATCTTGATATGAAAAGTCGATTCTGGGATGCACATAAATATTAAATAACAGAATAAGGCAGTGAAGCAATTTTAGGATCACTACAGGTTTTATTACATAAACATTTTAATATTCCGAAGGGGTAGCTGGTCTGCAGTTTTGCTTATTTTCACAGAATGTCAAGTATCTGTAGAAATGATCTAGGAATGGTTTTTGAAACACACAATTCCCCCATCCCACCAAAATAATCCGTGGCCTCGGTTTTCCAACCAGATTCCTGAGAAAAATAATAGATCTTATTTTACAGTGCCACACATACATTTTGAAGATATAAAAAAGGACAGATTTCCAAAACATGAGTCTCCATTTTTAACAATGTCCTGTAAAAATACAATAAGTCTGCCCATCAGTCTGCCCCTGGCTATTTAAATATCCAGTTTGCCAAAAACAAAACTTAAAGCTAAGCAAAGATAAGCAAAACACATTAATCTTGCAGCAACACAATATCAACGTCGTCATGAACCCCTTGTAAAAGCAGTTCTCCTGTGTAGGTCACAATCTTCCTTTTTTTTGCAGCTTTGAGAGTTCCCACGAGGGCTTCAAAGAGGTTGGCACATTTGTCATCTCGGAAGAGAACCCCAAATTTCACACTTAACTTCCCATCAGCATCTAATGTGAGAAAACACAGTGTTAGCACATGCAAAGTCTGTCTCCTTGCCCTTATGTTCAGCAGATTTGCATAATCTTTATAAATGCTGAACAATGATTTAACCAGGAATTACAAATTCAAGCCAACAGTCAAATTCAGTCCACTGATTTCCCTGAGTCAAAAAATGATGAACCAGGGGTGAGAGAGATAGTATAGCATTTGCCTTGCATGTGGCTGACCCGGGTTGGATCTCTGGCATCTGGTCCCCTGAAAGCTGCCAGGAGAGATTCCTGAGTGCAGAGCCAGGAGTTACCCCTGAGCATCCCTGGGTGTGGCCCAAGAAGAAAAGAAAAGAAGAGAAAAGAAAAGAAGAGAAAAGAAAAATGAAGTAAAAACAAAGAGTCCTCTTGACCTTAACATTATCTGAACAGAAATTGCATGGAAACCAAAGAACATTTATAGAAGCCAAAAGTGCTCAGGCCCTACCCTTGCACACTCTAGGTACACATTACTGGGTTTTTTAAAATTTTTTTTTCTTTTTTGGGGGGGTCACTGAGCGATGCTCAGGGGTTACTCCTGGGTCTGCATTCAGGAATCACTTTTGGCAGTGCTGGGGGACCATATGGGATGCCGGGGATCGAACCGGGGTCGTCCGCAAAGCAAACACCTTACTCACTGGCTTTTAATTGGGAGGATTGTTGTTAAATGGATTAAAGGTAAAGGTAAAAAAGGTAAAGGCCCTCCCGTTGATCGTCGATTTGCTCGAGCGGGCCCAGTAATGTCTCCATTGGAGACTTTGTTGTTACTGTGTCTGGCACATCGAATACCCTCGGTAGCTTGCCGGGCTCTCCGAGAGGGGCGGAGGAATCGAACTCGGGTCGGCCATGTTGGCCGCTTGTAAGGCGAACTCCCTACCACTGTGCTAAAGTAACACCAGAGAAATCCACCTTTTGAAGCAGTGTTTCTCTTAGTGCATTTTAAAAGCACTCAACCCAACTCCCCACCCCACCCCCACCTCCGCCACGTCAGTGAAGAAATTGGGGTATTAGAAGTAGGGGAGAGTGGGGGCAGGAAAACAACTAGATTTACCAAGAGCGCTACATTTTCTAGCTTGGAGGCCAGTTTTTGAACATGAAGGTTAAAAACTAGGAGGCTGGAGGAGATAAGGCATTGCCTAGCCAACAGCCAATTCCCAGCATCACATATGGTTCCCTGAGCACTGCCAGGAATAACCCCAGAGCACAGAGCTAGGAGTAGGCTCTGAGCACAGCTGGACAGCTGGGGATGGTCCCTAAACAAAAACAAAACAATAAAACACGTTATAGTTTGTTTCTTCATACAAATGAAATTTCAAACTGTGGCAAGACATGACAGAAAAGTAAAGGCCTACTGCTGAGTTTTGTATCTGCTTGTCCAAGGGCTTGAACCTGTGCCTGCTTCCCTCTCTTTCCTCTCAAAGCTGCATCCAGCACCAAGAGGCTGGTCATTCCAGTGAGAGGCACCAGGCCATTGTCCAGCGTTCCTGAGTTGCTCAACCCAAGGCTTAACAGATTTCTCTGTTGCGCTAGATACTAGAGGCAGAAAAAAGAGCACTTATTAGATCCCTTTCTAGAAACACTTGCAAGTTTTCAGAGAAGTTGCTTTAATTCCCACGAGGAAAGAAGTAGACACTAAACAAGCAAATCTCCCTGATCAAACAGCAGGATGTCGAGAACAGCAGAAATCCTGCATCCGAGAGTTCGGAATACAATATGACTCAGAGCTACAACAATGAGAGGAAACTTCTGGACTTTACAGAAGATCGGTTGGGAGTGTAGTACACTGGGCAGGGTGCTTGCCTTGTGCAGCTGACCGAAGATGGAACCCCAGCATTCCATATGGTCCTCTGAGCCTGCCAGGAATGATGACTTGTGAGCACAGTGTCAGGAGTAAGCCCTGAGCACCACTGGGTATATCCTAAAAATACCTCAAAGGGGAATATAAGAGTCTGGGAGGAGCTGGAGCGATAGCACAGCAGGTAGGGTGTTTGCCTTGCACGTGGCCTACCCGGGTTCAATTCCCAGCATCCCATATGGTCCCCCGAGCACCGCCAGGAGTGATTCCTGAGTGCAGAGCCAGGAGTAACCCCTGAACATCACCCAAGTGTGACCCAAAAAGCAAAACAAAACAAAAAAAAAGAGTCTGGGAGATACCTCAAGAGATAGAGTATATGTCTAGTATGTGAGACACCCCGAGTTCAACAGTATAGCAGGACACACACCCCCAAACAATGCAAGGGTGGTCTTAGTGACCCCAGCATTGTTGAGAATGGCCTTAAGCCCAGTCCTGGGCTCCCCAGCACTGCTGCATATAATCCCCATAAATAAATACAATAAAGGGAAGGATGACACAGAGTTTTTTTTAAAAAAAAAAAAAAACCTAGCAAAGGCTTGGAGAGATAGCTCAAGGCTAAGGACAGACTTTGCATGCAGGACACCTGGGTTTAATTCTCCGCACTCAATACTTTTGTTGTTTTCTTATTTTTTGGGCCACATGTGGCAGTGTTCAGGGGTTACTCCTGGCTCTGCATTCAGGGATCACTCCTGTCAGTGCTCAGGGGACCATGTGGGATGCTGGGATCGAACCTGGATCAGCCGTGTGCAAGACAACATTACCTGCTATACTATGATTTGATTAGATTTGATTCTTTTCTTTTCTTGCTTTTTGGGTCACACCTAGCGATGCTCAGGGGTTACTCCTGGCTCTGCACTCAGGAATTACTCCTGGTGGTGCTCAGGGGACCATATGGGATGCTGAGGATTAAACCTGGGTCGGCCACATGCAAGGCAAACGCCCTTCTTGACACTGAGTGGTTCCCCCAAGAACAGCATCCCTTAAGCACCACTGGGTTGGTCTAAAATATCAAAAAAAAAAAAAGCAAACCTGAATGTTTTCCTTCTACTTTAACTTGTGGGGGTTGGGGAGAGAGGAGGATGAGGTGAGGGGGAACTGCCGCTTAGGGCTTCCTCCTGGCACTGTCCTTAGAGTTAACTCCTGGCAGTGATTGGACCATATGCAGTGTCAGGGATCAAAGCAGGGTCAGACATGTGCAAGGCAGGTGCCTTCCCGGCAGTATTATCTCTCAGGCCCTGTTTTAATAATTTTATGGTTATCATCTTCCAATAAAGTGGAGTGTGTGGCCCCATAGAAAAGATAGTTTTAAAGGCGCATACACTTTTCTCTCACTAGTCTCCAGCCCAATAATTTGTATGCACTCAGAACGAATTATTATGGGGCTGGGGAGAGGGTTCAAAGGCCTGGGATTCATGCTTTAAATGTGGGCACCCCAAATTGAATGCTGGGTACTGCATGCATGGCCCCCTGAGCAGCTTTGGGTATAGATTCATACCACCACCTCCCTGCTGAAAAGTAAAAGAAATCAGGGCCAGGGGTATGGCTCAGTAGCAAGCTGAAACCTCAGTTCAATTTCTGTCACCACAAATAAATGGGGTGGGGGGGGCAAAATCTTGCTACACCTGGGGGCATAAGAGCTCTCTCCTGGATGTTCTGCCCAAGCATCTCAGAGTCCTGCCCTGCTAAGTCTTTTTTCTACAGAATTGGACTCAAGCATTCCCTTCTCCGAGAGGTTTCAAGAAGTTCACTGTAATTTCTTCTTCCAGAGTTGATTCCATATCAGAGGCCAGAGACATAGCTCAAAGGGACAGAGTGCATGCATTGCAAGCCCAACGTTCAGGTCTTATCCCAGCACTGCATGGACCCCGAGCTCCAGCAGAAGTGACCCCTTGGGTGCTGGAGCAATAGCACAGCGGGTAGGGCGTTTGCCTTGAACGCGGCCAACCCGGGTTCGATTCCCAGCATCCCATGTGGTCCCCCGGGCACTGCCAGGAGTAATTCCTGAGTGCATGAAACAGGAGTAACCCCTGTGCATCGCTGGGTGTGACCCAAAAAGCAAAAAACAAAAAACAAACAAAAAGAAATGAGCCCTAAGCCAGAACCAGGAGTAGATGCTGAGCTCTGCTGGGTGTGACCTAGAAACCCAAAAGAAATGATAAAATTAAATAGAGTATATGTCTATCAAAGCATTCACCATCAATTACAATGATAATCACTATCATTTATTAAGAATGTGTCATGTTGCTGGAACTGTCCAATGCATTTTATAGTCATTAAAATTTAATAAATTAATTTTGTTTCAATTACTAAGAGAAAATTGATCCAAGAACCATCCTTTTTTTTTTTGTTCCAATTAAACTGCCAGTTCACCATGTATCTAAGAAACATCCTATAGAAGATTTTGAAGTATGGAAAAATGGGGTCTTTAATATCATTGAAATAGAAGGTGACTGTTTTATTAGTAAGAAAAACAAGGCAGAGAAATGTTTGGTAAAGTTTCCAAGCTCACACAGCAGTTACCAAAAAAGAGGAGCCGGCATTCACCCCCCAGATCCCCCCATAACCCCCAACCCTAACCACTTTCCAGCATGAACTTCTAGTCCATCTAGAGCCTCTGAGCTGAGATGGAATTTTGCTCAATCTCACATTTCCTGCACTTGAATACACAGATAGCTATTTGTTGAATGAATGAATATAAATCTCCAAATAATCTTCAACCACGCCATCATTTTCTACCAGATGAGAAATCACTGTAAAAAAAATTTTTTTTATTTCCAAAGAAACAGGTAAAACCAAATTCATCCTTATCAACTTCATCTAAGACATCCTAGATCAATTGGTCTCATATCAGTCATCAGAGTCAAAATGCAGATTGGTCAACATTATTCTGGGGGCAACTTAAGTAATTAACAATAACATGTCAGTAGACAACCCTTTTCCATGGATGCTTTCCAACTCAATTAAGTCATATATTACCAGGACCAGGGCAGTGAAGAGGCCTGGTGAAGTTGCAGTGTTCCAAGTATTTTTACCCTCACAGAAGGAATAATAATTACTCTGTAGTCTTCCGGTTTGTAAAGCTCCTAATTTTGAAGAGACATTTCAGTTTACCCTAGTAGAATAATGATACTATCTAGTGATGCAGACATTAGACTTCTATTTTATTTTGTTTATAGAGATCACCTTTGGCACTACTGGGGCCACTAGGGTCAGACCTGCAGAGCTCAGAGGGCTGTGCAGTGCCTGGGATTGAATTCAGGGAATCACACATGCTAGACATCTGCTCCCCGTCTTTTTTGTTTGCTTTTTGGGTCACACCTGATGATGCTCAGGGGTTACTCCTGGCTTTGCACTCAGGAATCACTCCTGGCGGTGATCAGGGGACCATATGGGATGCTGGTAATCGAACCTGGGTCAGCCACCTGCAAGGCAAATGCCCTACTTGCTGTGCTATTATTGCTCCAGCCCGTTGCTTCCCGTCTTGAGCTACCCCCGGCCCTTAAAAAGTGTGAGATTTTAATGCAAGTTAAACCAGACCAATGACTACTAAGCTGACATGGAGAAAGAGTCAAGAGAGAAGAAAATCCTACAAATCTTCACAGACACCTTTAAAAAGTTTAACAATACAGGGCCAGAGAAATAGCTCAATGGGCTGAGCACCTGCTGTATATTTTGGGAGGCCCGAGTTGAATCCTCAATACCACATGTCACCCTGAGCACTGCTGGAGTGACCCCAAGCACAGAATTGAGAGTAGCCCCTGAAATATTACCAAGTGGAGTCTCTATACCAAAAAGAGATTACTACTGGGATTTGAAATTAAAAAAAAAAGAACAAAAAAAAAAAAAAACACCTCTCCAAACTCCTACCAGCACTAGTGGCCTGAGAGATGGCTGAGCAGATGTTCTGCATGTGGGACACCATTTGTACATCCAGTTTCCATTCCTGGCTCCACAAAACCACCTGTTCCTCACCCCTAATCCCTAGCATAGAGCTCAAAGCAGCCCCCAAGCAGTCTGGGTAGAGCCTATAAAAGAAAAGAAGAACATCAACAAAACGTCCACCACAGTAGCATGGTGAAAATTGGAAGAGAAAACTGGAACCCGGATCAATTATTCCTTCAATTGGAGAATTAAATAAACCCCATTCTTCATTGCTTACTCAGAATTCTACGAAAATGCCAAGTCTACTCCTGCATTTCCTCCTCAGCAGACCCGTCCTCCACACGGCAGTCCTTCCTGCCAGCCAAGGAATTCATAGGGTATCCCCGACCACCACAGTTTCAAAAATCAGGTTCTTAGGATTGTGCAGAGAAACACAGCACTTCACAGTTGTTTGTACTATTTTTTCTAAATAATTGCTTGGTGATCTGTTTTTCTCAACTAAGATCCCTTAGGAAAAGAAAAACACCTTATCCAATGTGAGTCTATAACAGTGGCATATACACATGTGCAATTTTCAACTCAGCTCACTTGATTGTTGAGGCAACAAAAACTTCTGTCTATCTTTTCTTGGTATAGCTCAGTAGTGATGACTAAATGCATTGTAAAACCAAGGTTATTAAAGAAGACCAAAAAAGGGGAGGTGATTAGAAGAATACTGGTCCTCAAAACCTAATATCTGAAAATCTCTTGAAAGAGAGCATAAAAAGATTTGCCATAGCCATGCCACTGGACCCTACACCAGGCTGTTTTATTCGGGGCACCCCGAAGGAGGGTGGATGAGGCCCCTCTCCACCCCAAGGGACCCAGACCCAGCACCAAAAACCTCCAGAACTCAACCACAACCATGCTCATAGCCGCTCTCACACGCTCGGGCCGAGTCTCACCCACAAATGAACCTATTCCTGGACATCTCATACCTCACACCACTCATATTTCAAGAGTAGCATACCACATCTGATGAGGTTTATATTTTAAAGTAGAAGACAACCAGTTTTAGAGAGAAATATATTTTTACAGACATACATATATATATCTATATATATATATGCACACAAGGCTCAACCTTTAACAACATGCTAGTAATTGCTTATAGAAGGGCTTAATGGTCCCTGGGTGAAATATAACAATCTTCACATACTTTCCTCTAAAGAAACTATTTTGGAACATTTTCAGTGGTTTATTTATAACAATAATACAAAACTAATTACTTTGGTCCTGCATTGGGCAGGAGTTGGGGTTTGGGATGGAAACATGAAATATGGTGGCAGGAAGATGTAATGGTGGTGGATTGGTGTTCAAATATTAAATGGAATCAAATATTGTGAACTCCCTTATAAAAATAAAATTGAATTAAAAAAACCCTAATATCCTAATCCCACACCCCCATGAATGCTCTTTTACCTGCCTTTTGAAGATATAATTAAATTAAGGTACTGAAATAGGGGAGGGTTACAGGGGAGGGTAAAGGAAAGGGTTATAGGGGGAGGGTTGTGGGGGGTTATAGGAGTAGGTTTGTGGGGGAGGACTATAGGGGAAAGGTAAAGGGGAGGGTTACAGAGGAGAAGGTGGAGCGATAGCACAATGGGTTTGGTGTTTGCCTTGCACAAGGCCAACCCAGGTTCGATTCCTCCATCCCTCTCGGAGAGCCCGGCAAGTTACCAAGAGTATCGCGCCTGCCCGACAGGGCCTGGCAAGCTCCCCGTGGCATATTTGATATGCCGAAAACAGTAACAACAAGTCTCACAATGGAGACATTACTGATGCCCGCTCAAGCAAATCAATGAACAATGGGAGGACAGTGCTACTGAGCTACTGATAAGGAAATTATCCCAGACTATCTGAATGAGCGTGTGAAATTGGGTATTCTTTGATGCGGAGGGGGGAGGGAGGAAAGGCTGTTTGGAGGGAGGTACTAGGCACCACACCCAGTAGCAGTGCATAGTCTTCCTCCTAGCTCTGTACTCAGAGGATCCTCCTGGTAGAGCTCAAGAGACCATATGCAGTGCCCCGGATTGATGCAGGATCAGCTGCATGCAAGGCAGAAGTCTTACCCATGTACTAACTCTCCAGCCCAGGGGCATTTTGTTATAGTAACTGAACAAGGCTAAATCAGACTTATAAACTACATAACGGTTAAGATATTAAATGGGTTGTCACTGTTGATAGAGCAGTAATAGCAAACTGACACAGGGACATTTACTGTGAATGGCTTCATGTTAACATTGTCAGAGCATGCCCTGCAATTTCAGTTTGACTAGTGAAACATTAAGACATAACTGTCTGTTATTTCAGCAAACACAATTAAGAGAACAGATAATCAAGCTATACTAACACAACAGTTCTCCTGAGGTACCTTTCTGTTTATTCATTTTTTGTTTGGGGCCACATCCAGAGGTGATCAGGGCTTACTCCTGGCCCTGAGCTCAGAGATCACTCCCGGTGGGCTTGGGAGACCATCCAGGGTGCTGGGGACCAAACCTGGGTTGACCACATGGAAGGCAAATGCCCTACCAGCCATACTATTGCACTGACTGTGAGTTACCTTTTTAAAATTTCTTTTCACCTATATGATGTTTCTAAACTTTAAATTCCATTATCCTAGCTGTTGCTAAATACGTCTATTGCTCTTGAAACTCTGAAAAAGATCCCCTAACTTTAGCATTTCTTCTCTGAGAGGCATCAACTACTGAAAGCTGCAAGGAAGCAGTCGCTTTCACTCCAAAGGAGAAGGACAGAAATTTACACCATGCCTCACTAATTGCAGTGACTTCACCAGCAGCTACCTGCAAGCTGCTGTGAAAGGCTGGCAGAGGGAGGGCGAATCCAGCCCTGGGTTGGCACATGCCCAGATGCACAAAACTCAAGAGTCTGGAAAAACAGGGACCATTCAGTTTCATGTCGATCTGAGTCCCTAAACCTTTGGAAGTCTGAAAAATGATGACAACAGAAATTTGAATATGATTCCATCCATTTACTCTGCAGCCAAATTAAAGCAGTACCTTTCTCCCAATGTAGCACTGTAGCACTGTCCTCCCATTGTTCATCGATTTACTCAAGCAGGCACCAGTAACGTCTCCATTGTGAGACTTGTTGTTACTGTTTTGGGCATATTGAATACGCCATGGAGAGCTTACCAGGCTCTACCATGTAGGTGGAATACTCTCGGTAGCTTGCCGGGCTCTCCGAGAGGGACGGAGGAATCGAACCCGGTTCAGCCTTGTGCAAGGCAAACGTCCTACCCACTGTGCTATCGCTCTGCTATGGTGGAGGATAATGAAATAGCTCCACCATACTCTGCCCCAGAATCACAGTAACCAAACGCCTGGTGTGTCATGGGAAACCACTTCCCAGCTGAGGGTAGTTCTTACCTGCCAGTTCTTAGCTGTTCTCTGGCTGTCCTGAAGCCCTAGGTGATCCCTTCCTAGGTTCCTACCACAAATTCGGTTTGTTTGCTCTGAGGACACAAGGTACTAGGTATCCATGTCAGAATACTGACTTTTTATTTTTGTTTGGGAGAGGGGAAAGCTTGGCCCACATCTGGCAGTGTCAGGATTTATTCTTGGCTCTGTGCTCGGGAATGACCCCTGGCAGTTACTCAGGGAATCTTATATATAAGGTAACAAAGCTCAACCCTGGACAGCTGCATGAAGGCAAGCACTTTACTTCCTATTCTCTCTTGAACCCAACACTGACTTTTGTTTGTTTTTGGATTGGGGGGCAGGCATACCCAGTCATGCCTGAGGGTTAGTCGTGGTAACGCTCAGGGAAACAAATGCTCTCTCTTCAATCCAATACTTACTTTTGTTTGTTTTTGGATTTCAGGATCATACTCAGCCACGCTTGGGGTTTACTCATGGCAATGCTCAGGGAACCATATGCCATCCAGAGATCAAACCAGGGTTGGCTGCATGTAGGTCAGTGCCTTAAATCCTGTACCATCTCCCTCTGGCCGAATACTTACTTTTTGAACCCAGACGATGAATTTCCTCCACTAAGAGGTTAACTTCGTGATCCACATTCATGGCTTCCTAAGGGAAGAAAAAATAAGTGTGCGTTATTACAACATCCACATTTCATTAGCACATCTTGATAATCCAAGAGTCCTTTATTTCATGGATCATTGGTCACCATTGATCTATCACTTTCATCTTCTAAGAATCCTACTGTAAAAGTACACAGCATTCGAGAACCTTCATTTCCCCCTCAATCATTAAAACAGCCCCTTGTGGAAGTCCCCGCTGAGTCTGTGGTCCACTGAGGAGAATGCAGTGATTCTCCAAGTTGCTGTTAACTCTATGCCCCTATTCCCCAGGATGCTCTGTTTGGCACCCAAAATCCAAGGATAATACCGGACCAGAGGAGGAAGTTCCCCCTCCGCGTGCCCAGAAAGGCTTGGAAAAGTGACAAAACAAATACCCTGGGAGTGGTGAGTACCCAGGGGGCAAGTCAACAAAGGTGTTGCAGCAGTCTCTGGGTAGGGAGAGGACGCCGTATGCAGTGGGGAAGGGTGGGCTGTACAAAAGGGAGCAGTGGGCGCAAAAGCAGAGGCACAAAAGGAGCATTTCCTGGGGTAGGAGTTGGAAGCAAGATAAACACCACACTCCTTCCTGTTGCATTTTGTAAGGATGACATTCAGATGACATTCAAAGGCCATCCGGATCCGATGCAGTCTTCCCCAGGGCAGTGCCAAGGGCCACCTAGTTTTATGGGCAGCTTGTGGGGAAGGCCACTCCTCTCTCGTGAAGGCACCGGCCAGCAGAAATCAGCCCTGAGACTTGGCTTGGCTCCCCAAGTCCTCCCTGGGCTGGTTTCTGCCTCCTTCATGTTCCCCGTTAAACTCCAGGTGGCAACTACACAGAGCTTCTCCTTAGCGTTCGAATGCTCCCGGTCTCCTCACTCCCAGCCTTCACACACATACACACACACACACACACACACACACACACACACACACACACACGGTCTCCTGGATTCCTATTCTGACTCTTCTTCCCTTCTTGGCTAACACCCCACATCCCATCCCAGCCCCTGCTTGGACACAACTTCCTCCTGCAGATTGGATACCAAAAGTCAAGCCCCGGTAAATACTGGTTTTAGATGAAACGAAGCAACAACATTTGGGGGGTAGGGGGTGAGAGGGTGGGGATGATAGCAGTACAGCTGTGGGAGGTGTACCCTGGTTGCTGATATAAGGGGGGAACAGAGAGGAGGTAGGGGTGGTGGTGGAAGAGGAAGGGAGAAGGAGGAGAAGGAAGGGGAGGAAAAGGTGGCAGAAGGTGGCTGGAGGTGGCAGGAGGTGGCAGGAGGTGGAAGAGCATCCAGTCAGAGAAATAGTAAGGTCAAGGAGGCAAGCAAACAGCAACAGAAAGTGAAAGGAGAGAAACAGCCAGACTCAGGAAAGAGCAGGTAGGGAGAGATGAAACCCCACACCATATAGGGGAAAGATAGTAAAGGAAGACCCGCTGCCTTTAAAAGGCAATCATTTATAAGCAAGACACCACCAGGGGCAGAAACTCGAGGTGGAAACTAGGCAAAACATGCATTGCTGCTGTCTGCTTTCAAATCTTAAGCTTTTCAAACCACACAAGGCGTTACAAATGTGGAGTCTGCATCAACGGTTTATCTGGGGCTGATGAAGAAACAAGTTGGTTTCAACAGATTGTCATGAAGTCCTGTTAATTTTTCAAAATAAGATGGTTAGGAGCTGGAGAGACGGCTTGGTGGGCTGAGGGCATGCTTTGCATGTGAGAGGCCCAGGCTTGATCTCTGGCACCATGAGGTCTTCCAAACGACACTGGGCACAGCCCCAGGACACTGAATAGACCTCAGGTAGTAAGAGGCATGGCAAAAAAAACACACACACACACAAAAAGTATATAAATAGCTTTTGGTTTTGAACGGTATCTTGCTAAGGATATGGTTCAAAAGCTAGCGATTATGTTTTGTATGCAGGAGTCCTGATTCAATTACCAACACTACATGGCCCCCCCAACACCACCAGGCATGACCCCTAAGCAGAGCCAGGGAGTCATTCCCGAGCACTGCCAAGTGTGGCCCTCCAAAAATATTTTTAAAAGAATATTAAATAAAGGATATTGATTGGTACCTCATTTTTCTATCAGCTCATATTAAAAGCACCCAACCATCTGCTATATTACATGAATATTCACATTATTTGAATATTATAATTTAATAAGCTTGTATACAAAAAAAGTGGAAAACTACAGGTTAGTGTATTCACAGAAAACCAATATAAAGAGTATAGTTTCTACTTATTAGACACTGTATTAATGTAAATTATATCTTTGATGATACATCCAAAATACAAATTAAGAACAATATTAAAACAATATTGTTCTTTTAATATTAAAGAACAATATTAAAAACTCCAAGGGCATGGGGCTGGAGCAATAGCACAGTGGGTAGGGCATTTGCCTTGCACATGGCCAACCGGGTTCGATTCCCAGCATCCCATATGGTCCCCTGAGCACCACCAAGAATAATTCCTGAGTGCAGAGCAAGACTAACCCCTGTGCATCACTGGGTGTGACCCAAAAAGGAAAAAAAAAACCTCCAAAGACAGGCTGTGGACATAGCCAGTCTGAAAAAGGTATCAAAAACCAGCCACGAATAACGATAGCAAAAATCCTGTTACATCACAAATGTACACAGCGATACTGTTTTAATTTTGTTTTGTGTGAAGATGCAGCCCCACAACTTTGAAACTAGTATTCTAAATTTTGTTTGTAAAGGACCTTTCATTTTAACTCTAACCCCACTTATCTTGGGTAAAGCCTTGCCCAGATTCTAGTTACAATTCACACAAGAATGAAGGGGGCAGAAGGCAGGTGTTTCCTTCCAGAACAATGAGATCCAACCTGAAATGTTGCCAGAATTACTGAATGAAAACGCAATTCTCCTACTGGTTCAAAGATGCACAGCCTTGATGAGTATAACGACCATGTGGGAAGGTTTTGCCAGAAATGAAGTTAACAGAGAACAGCTCAGTCATTAAACACTGATGGGGTTTCAGTCCTGGGTTCTAATCCCAGGAACCAATCCATTCTTCGCAAGCTTGCTTGTGCTGATTTGAGTTTCTGTCACCTGCACTCTAAAAAACCTGGACCCATAAATTTGGCCAAGGGAAGAGCTATTTTTTTTCTCACCAAAGCCCCTCCTCCCTTTAAATTGTTGTAGAAGGCACACCTAGAGGTGCTGAAGAGGTGAGAAGGTGCTGGAAAATAATGAAGATCTAACCCAGGCCTCATACATACACAAGCTTTATCTATGAACTTGACCATTTGAACTATGTTCCCAAATGCTCAGTGAAGTTTCTTTCTTTTTTTTTTCTCCTTTTTTGGGTCACACCCGGCAATGCACAAGGGTTACTTTTGGCTCTGCACTCAGGAATTATTCCTGGCGGTGCTCGGGGGACCATGTGGGATGCTGGGGACTGAACCTGGGTCAGTAAACGCCCTACCTGCTGTACTATATCTCCAGCCCACAGTGAAGTTTCTTATTTACTCAGGTGTCCCTCTTCTGTGTTGTTCTGTTGGGAAGATACAATAAAAAGGGTGATTTGGAAGCTGTGTAAGGAAGAAACTCTCAAAGAGTAAAAGCAGCTGAAAAGAGAGTCCAAAATTTGTTACTGGAAGAAAAAAAATGCAGATGTCTTATACATCTGAGAAGGTTGATGAGGAAACTGGTTACTGCTGTACAAAAGGAAGAAAGAAATGTTCAAAAGAATTTAGGTCCTGGCTAGTCCTCGGATTCTCCAGCTTCCCACCCCCCATAATCTCGCTCTAACAGTTCTGCACTCATTCCACCCACCAAAGGCTGCCCAATTTGGACCAAGCTCTCATTCCATGCGATTTAAGGGAGAAATCCTATTATTGCATGGAGCATAAATTATCTGCATCATATTAAGCAGATGTATGTTCACGCAAATCTCAGAAGGGAAGCCAACCAGCATTTGTTTACAATTAGTTATTGAGACTCCTTGACATTCTAAGAAGCTTGACAATTATGTATTATTAATCTCCGTTTTACAATGATAAACCTGGCTGGGAGGGACTCCCCACAACTAAATGCTGTTTCTACCACCTTTTTCAGCCTTGGCTTTATCTTCTTTCCTGCTAGTTATCATCAGGCCAAAGGCACTAAATTTAATAGCAAGTGGCATGAAATATGACATGCTGAGAGCTAGTTCCTAAAGCAGAGAGCGTCCCTGTTTGGACCCCTACCAGAAGAAAAAGAACGAGGGTCTGAAATCATCGCTATGCTCCCTGCTCTGGCTTGTTTATTATTTACTTGGAACCAGATGGAAATACTTATTGTGACACGGTCTTTGAAAGGTCCAGGCCACTTTATAAAGAAAGGTAGCAGCCTGGGATGCTGTGAACAAGATGGTTAAAAATAATGGGCAAAGGCCCTACAAGGAGCAAGTGTGAAAAGGGGTGAAAGCTTGCGACAGGAAAGGAACGGCAGACGCTAGCAGGCGACCCAGCAGGCTGGAATGTGATGGAATCCAGACACGGTGCGTGGGAGTCCCAAGAACGTGGAACAAGGGCTGGGGGCGCTGTCATGCTCTCCCTCCAGCTCTGCATTGCTGGTGGCCCTTACGGTGCCCAAGGACCGACCCTCTTGGGCTCGTTAAGGTTTGCTGTGAAGTTTGGAGACACTGCACGGAGATTTTTTTGTTTGTTTCTAATGTGCAAGGAATAGAGGGGACGTGGGCGGGCGCGTTGGGGACGGGGCCAACTTTCTGCAGAGGGGCGGCCACTTCGGCGGGTCGCAATCCCGGGAGAGCGTCCGGGGCGCGCACGCCAGCCTGGTTGGGTCCCCCCAACCCGCACCGCTCCAAGTTTGGGCGCCTGCCCCAGAACGGGGGGGTTTGGGGACCCCACAGCCGCCGGCACCCGGGCAGAGGGTGTGCGTGCTGGCCGGGGTCCCCAGATCAGGGGCCGCGGGCGAGTTCCGGGGTGTCTTTGTCTCCGCGACAGCCGCGCCCTGAGCGGTGACCCGATGCCTCCTCCAGCCGGCACCCCGGTTTGGCGAGCCCCTAAGGTCCCCTCACTAGCCCCCCCTTGCAAATACACAATCCCGAGCACCCAGAGCTGCCCGCGACCATCCCCATTCCCCGCCCGGGACCCCGGAAGGAGGCGCTTTGTCCCCTCCGAGCTGTGCCCAGCTCAGCTCCCGGGCCACCCGCGAGCGCCAGGAGGACACGTCGCGCCGCCTCCGCCTGCCACCCACGGTCACGTGAGCGGGGTGCGGAAGTCTGCGGGAGAGCCGGGGGGCTCGGGGATGCGCCCACCGGGGCTCCCCCACCCAGCGCCCGGTTCCACCGACGCCCTCCGCGGGCTCCCACGACCCCCGCCCTTGCAGCGGCTCGGTCCCCACGCACCCCCGATCACCACCGCCACATCACTAGCAGCACCCCAACTCCCTCCTGGCCACCTGGCCCGGGGGACCCGCTCACCTCCCCGCCTCCTGGTCTCCAGCGACGGAAAAGTGGTGCAGCGCGCGCCGCGGGCCCCGGTTCCCTCCTTCCACGCCCCGGGGAGGAAGAGGTGGGGGGAGGAAGTGACTGAAGCAAAGAGACCCGCTCGGGGGAGGAAGAGGAGGAGGAGGAGGGGAGGAAGAAGAGGAGGAGGGGAGGAAGAGGAGGAGGAGGAGAGGAGGAAAAGGAGGAGGGGGGAGTAAGAGGGGGAAGGAGGAGGAGGAAGAGGAGGAAGAAGAACTGGGGAAAGTAAGAGTTTCAACGCTCACGACAGAGACCGCCCACACTCCCCCCTGCAAGCCTAGGAGGGACAAACTTGGAATTGGGAGAGAGGCGCCCCGAAAGGGGGCCGACTCCAGGTGGCCCCGCGCCCGAAGCTTCTAGGAATCCGGAGCCGAGCGTTAGGCCACCTTTCCTGCGCGCCCCGCACGCAGTTCCTGCCCCGCTTTCTCTTCCAACCAAAGAAAGAATCCCGCCCCGCCTCGTGCAGAATCCTGAGGTCTCTTGGGTGCCTTGTGGCATTGCTTCTGAAGGCCCAGAGCAGGAGCACCCCCCGCCACCACACACCCCCCGCAAGACGGGTCTGACTTGCCACAGTAAATGCTTTGTTGCAAACGCACTAGGTTCCACTGCAGACACTGCAATCGGACAACGTGAGTTCTTCATCGTGAGCCGGTGACCTATGCAGGATTCTCTTGACTCACTAGTTCCTGCATTTAACTGCATACTTCAATGCATTCGTACTGCCAGTATTTTAAGCGCTGTTGTTTTGCTGGGGGTGGGAGAGACAGGGAGAGAAAGAGCAACAAAAAGCTACTCCCTGTCTGAAGAGCAATCCCAGGTATGCTGAGGGATCCAACCCTTCCCAAACTGGATCATCTACCTCCCATTTATTCTCATCTGTCGGTTTGGGTGCGACGGAAGAGATTATGTTCCCTACCACCCAAGATTCCTTCTGCAAAGGGCCCATATGCCCATATCCCCCCTATTGAGAGAAGTGGCCCAAACTGTCACTAGGACAAAGGTTGCACAAATAACCACCGATACCTGCCCAATTTCCCCGATAACTGATTAGGTTAAAAGTGATCCCATAGGAACTGGAACTAGCCTTGTGTGCATCAGACTCCAGTTCTATCCCCCGGTATCACAAACAGTCCCCCCAAGTACTGCCAAGGCTTACTTCTTTGTTGTTGTTTGTTTGTCTGTTTTATAGTTTTTTTTTTATTTTTTTGCTTTTGGGGTAACACCCGGTGATGCTCAGGGCTGACTCCTGACTCTGCACTCAGGAATCACTCCTGGCAGTGCTTGGGGATCCATATGGGATGCTGGGAATCGAACCTGAGCCGGCTGCATGCAAGGCGAATGCCCTACCTGCTGTGCTATCACTTCAGCTCGGCCAAGGCTTACTTCTGCACACAGCTAGGAATAGGCCCTGGACACCTCCAGGTACATTCCAACCCTCTACCCACAAAGTAATTCCATAACTCAAGAACCACAATCTGTAAATTGGCCATTATGGTTGGGGAAGGTGAAGTGGAATAAATAGCTCTCACCTGGCAGTAACTCTGACAACCAAGAAGGCGAACAACCCCTCCAACCTCCCGGCAGAAATGAAATGAAATGATGCAGAGAGGCCATCCCCATGCTCTGCAGATAAAAGGCTGGAGCTAGGAGAGGCTGGGGCCAAAGGGAGAGAACAAGGGCCTCCAGCAAACAAAGCACTTGAATAACAGAAACTTGGAGACTGAGGTAGGAGATGGGCCAGAGCAAAGGGGTAGAATGGCCCCAGGGATCCGAGGAACAACAAAGACTGAGGTTCCCTAGAGGGAATTGAACAGCCAGGTCCCAGAGCTGTCCCCGTCCCTCCCCAAACTCCCTGCTATGTATGACCCTTTGATCATAAATGTTCACAAGGATGGGTCTCTGTTCCCTACCTAAAGACTCGAAATCGGACTCCTCTAAGCTTATCCTGTCAACTGAAACCTAGGGTGACTTAAAGGCTCTTTGAGGCCTCTTTCTTGCCAGAGAGACAGACAGATAGACAGACAGACAGACAGTCAGTCAGATAAGCAGAGAGACAGAGAGAGACAGAGGAGGAAAGAGAGAGACAGAGACAGAGACAGAGGAGGAGAGAGAGAGAAAGGTGAGTTGAAACAGTAGGAGGTTAACAGTTGGATACACACTTTGACCTTCGGAGGCCCAATGTCAATCCAGGGTACCACGTGGTCCCCAATCACAGGACTGGAGTAGCCCCTGAACACTACCAGATGTTCATTTCCCAAGAAAACAAACAATAAAATAAAAATACAAACTCACCTTGACATCTTTCCAACAATAAAAATATAACGAGGGACTGGAATGATAATATAGTGGTTAGGGTGTTTGCTTTGCATGTTGAGGTTCAATCCTGAGCACCCCATAGGCTTCCCTGAGCACTGCCAGGAGTGATTCCTGAGCTCAGAGCCTGGAGTAAGCTCTGTACACTGCCAGATGTGGTCCAAAGGCCAAATATAAAATAAAAATAAAATAAAATAAAATGCCACAATTACCAATTTTCCTAGCAGAACCTGGCTATTTTGACTGGTGACCTATAATCATGCTTCATTATTCATAATGTCCTTCTGTGCTAAATGACGGGTGTTTCTCAGTACTCCGTTGCTGGGCTAAAAATGGGCTAATGGGCCTGTCTCACTCGTAAACATCCCTGATGATGTAAGAATAGATTCGTTCTTTCAAAATTTTTCCTTTGTGCTGGAGAGTAAAGCAGGCAAGGTGACGTTCATGGCCAACCCCAGTTTGATTCCCTGTACCATATACGGTCTCCTGAGCACGTCTAGGAATGACACCTGAGTGCAGAGTGATAGTAAGCCCAGAGCACTGCCTGGTGTAGCGCAATCCATATCCTGCCCCAACTCCGACACCACCACCAAATAAAATACTCTGCATATACATATATTGCATTATGCATAATCTAAACTTGTGTCAACCTATGGAAGATTAAAAATTCAAAGAAGCTGTTTTATACGAAGGAAAGAAAATCAAAATTTTGACAAATAAAATTTTTCTATCTTTCAGTTTCCACATTGACTTTTGCTATTTTTTTTTCAAAATTATTCACTTCGAAATATCATAGAGCTAAACAATGCATAATACTTAAACAGCAAAAAATGTCAAATATTTTGTATAGGCACCAATGTGTCAGTACCAGAGAGGACAAAGAAGTCTAGACGTAGTTTTGCTTAATGTCTTTGTTTTATTGGGGGTGGGGAAGAATCACACCCACCAGCGTGCTTAGAACTTATTCCTGGCTCTGCACGCAAGGATCACTCCATTTAAAAGAAAAAAATTATTGAATCACTGTGAGATACAAAGTTACTAAGTTGTTCGTGATTGAACTGTACAACATTAGAGTACCTGTCCCTTCACCAGTGTCCACTTCTCTCTACCAATGTCCCCAGTTTCCTTCCCTTCCCCACATTTTCTCTTTCTTCCTTTTCTGTAGTTTGCAATACAGTTACTGAAAGTGTATCATACATCGCATTTTATGTCCTTTCAGCACCCACTTCTTGTCCATAGTGACCATACGTGGAGACTGCTATCAGACCACGCTTGGGCATGTGCAAGGCAAATACCTTAGCCAGGGTCCTCTCTAGCCTCTGGCTGTAGCTGTCTAAACTGTGTGTTGCTGAGGCTGGAGAGATAGTAGAGTGGGTAAAGTTCTTGCTTTACTTGTTCTAGAACCAGTTCCATCCCTGGCACCACCTATGATCCCCAGTGTCCCACAAGGGATCTCTCCTGAGCACAGAGCCAGGAATAGCCCGTGAACCCTGCTGGGTTGGCCCAAATCTCTCTCCCCAAGTATGGGGTCAATCACATAACTGATTGGCAAACTGTCGAAAGTTTTTGAGCATGTAACAAGCAATATTAATTTCTAAATCAACTCCGTAATGAACCTAAGGTGTTTCTGGCGGTGCCCCCCACCCCCGTGTTGCATTTCTCAGGCAAAAGGGGGTGATCAGTAGAAGTTTAAGAAGCACTAACCCAAAGCATAATCATTGTCAAAAGCACTCTCCATACTGGATATATAAATGGGAAAACAGTCCTTGTGTTTAGTTACATAGCAGAAAATACCACTGTCCAATAGAAACATAAGTATAAGCCACATCTGTATTTTGAAAATTTTGAGTAGCTACTAAGAAACTTGAAATTATTTTGAATTTTTTGTTTAACCCATTATATTCAAAATACTATAACTTTTTTTAAGTATCACTGTACCACTGTCATCCCCTTGGTCATCAAATTACTCGAGCAGGCGCCATTACTGGTGTCTCCATTCCTCCCAGCCCTGAGATTTTAGCAGCCTCTTCTTACTCATCTTTTCCCAATGATTGGAGACTCTTTCAGGGACAGAGGAATGAGACCTGTTGTCATTACTGTATTTGGCATATCGAATTCACCACGGGGAGATGGCCAGGCTATGCCGGTGTGGGCGGGATATTCTCAGTAGCTTGCCGGGCTCTCTGAGAGGCATATATTTATATCAATACTTTTTTAAAAGTATTTATAAGATATTATACATTCTTTGAAGCCTATTGTCTGTTTTTCTCATAAAGCACACTTCAAGGTGCTTGATAGTGTTATATGGCTAGTGGAGATCATATTGGTCAGTGTAGTTGTAGACAGTGCCAGAGAAAAGCATGACATATTGGCTAAGAATTTCATTTAAGAACTTGTATGTTTGTGACAAGATTGAGAATGTAGCTCAGCAATAGAGTAATTGTTTTGCATGTGTGAGGCTACTGCAAAAAAAAAAAAAAAAGGACTTTGATGCTTCTGCAATGAAAAAAGCAAAACACTGAAAACACTGCATTTACAGGTCCCCAAGTACTGCCAATGGTCACTCCTGAGCAGAGTCAGAAAAATGTCCTGAGCACAGCTGGAGATGGCTAAAAGTTTATTTAATCTTAAAAAGGTTGATGGAAAATTTAAATTTCACTTGAAATATATAGTTGCCTTCCACTTCAATAATTTTTTTTAATTTGCAAAAATCTTGATCCAACAAGTGTGTACTGAGTAAATACCCAGTAGAGAAAGTACATAAATCTATCAAGAGATATG